CCCCCCCCCCCCCCCCCCCCCACACCGAACGTGGAGGCGGACCGCGGGTTGAAGGGAATGGTAACGGGGCGCCACTTGTTGCGGGAGGCGAGAGCGAACGGCTTACGGCGAAGGTTTTGAATAGCGCTGTGGAGGGCGACTCTCAAGAGGAGGACGGGGCGCTTTGGTCATGGTCGGTAAGAGAGAGGAGAGAGACGAATATGTTGAGAGATTGGTGGCGGTACAGAGATCCGCCACGGAGATATTTATTCCATGAAAGAGAGAGAGGGACGACATGATAGGCAAGAAAAGACGAGGGTGTTCCTCGGACATGTTGTAGGTCTGCTGAGAGGGGAGTAGAGAAGGACAGAGGAAAAGCAAGAGGACCCAAGAAGCGAGCACGTAACTGAGGATGGATATGTTTGTATGAGCCACACCGTCGTGCCAGAGTCACGGCACATAGGGGAGGCCTTGGCACCCCGAGCAATCCAGTCGCCGGAGTGATGTAAGCCGTTGATAATTTGCGGGATGCAGAACAGCCACAGGTTCAGCGGCAGGAAAGTCACAAATGCCGTAGGTCCTTTGCTCGATGGCGAAGAGACGTGTTTGCATTGAAGCACACCTGGCGGGGCGAATGGGCACTGCTGTACATACCTGTAAATTTGCGTGTCGGCTGACGTGCGTGCTTGTCTTACGCCCGCATGCGCATGAGCTTGTCACGTGTATGCCTCTCGTCAGACGCTCAATCGTGCGGCTTTTCGTGGTGCTGCCCTTGTTGAAAGCTGCGAAGCGTCGAGACTTGACCACGATGCCCTCGTTAATCCAGGGCTCTGAGTACACCCCCCCTAACCTCCTAGGAGGGCATACTGTACCGCGACTGGGGGAATATCACGGAATCGTAACTGGGGGTGGTGAATGGCATCGCGTACGGGGATCACAATAACGTAGCTTAGTTTGGACAGTCTCTCCAGGCATCGATGCCAGCATGGTTCGGAATCTTCTTACTCAACCAAGAAGAGATGCCTGATTGCTTGCGCCATCCAAGGCAGTCAGCCGCCCTTCCTCAGGCAGACCACTCGTGTTGTTGCCCCACCCCTCCGCGCCCCTGCTCCCGCTTTCGCGCCCACCCGCGCGCCACCGCTTCGACTGCGGTTCGCCCCTGTCTACCATGAATACGGCCGTCATGCACCAACGCTGTACAACCTTGGTGCATCCTTGACGGACCAGCGAGAAGGGTCGGCATGGCGGCATGATCGGCGCAACGATTTTTCGGACGGTGCTCTCCAGAGGGAGTTGCAGGGTGAGATTTGTTCCTCTTGTTTTTGCCCCGTTTTCTGTCATCACCGTCTGGTTTTGTGAAGAGTAGGCAATCTCTACTACCTATGGAACAGCCCAAAACAACTGGGTTACCTTGAACAGTTTCTCTCCTCGGCGGGCCCCCCATCCACCAGTTAGGAGATAATACGGTCAGTCGTACTATTCACGAAATTTGTGTACAATTGTCCATAGGAAACTGCCATCGCTCGGGCTACAAGTTTTTGTCCAAAGAAAATAATCGACTGTTCCACGTGTAACGATCAACAAAACAGTGTCGAGGTGGCCCATAGCCAATCGGTTCTTTGTGACGGTGAGATAACTACAACAAATGAGCGGGGGTTGGTACGCACCCGGTGCGGTACCGCACAGGGAATATTTTAGACGCCGGGCGCTTGTCACGGTACGTTGTGCTTGTCGTCCTCGGGAGATGCCTATGCGACTTGGGTTCTGTGTGCTTAACAATCGGCAACAATTTCGCTTGATTGGTGAGGACTGCACACTATCCCTGTATGTCGCCACCTGCCGTATCTGATTGCTCTCTTCCCCCCCACGCCGTTGCTTGTGAGCCGTGACGAACGGCCGCTGTCCACCGATGTATTCACGGCAAGAGCCAACGCCGTCAACTGACACTTCGGCTAGTTAGACGAAACAGAGCACAGCAACCGGCCACCGCCAAAAAACGTGGTAGAGCATGAAACGACCCAATCACGAGGCATGGGCCCAGTCGGAATGCTATTAATATACACGCATATACATTCTAGTGCACCGTCTCCAAAAAGTAGGCAAGATATGCTACGGAGTGCAGGTACACCGCCAACACTCATCACCCACTAATTCCCGACGCTTTCTGCTCGTTCTCGGACAATAGTTGAGGACGAGGAACGATGCGAAGACTGGCCGTGTGGCGATACATCGGTGAACCTGGAAGGTCCCTGCTACGACGGCTACGAAGGCGAACCGGGTTGGAGTAGGAGGCTCATCAGCTCTTCTTCCACGTTTTTGGGCGAATGTAGCGACGACACGTGTTGCCAACGTGAGACACGAGTAACTACCCACCATCAAAACAGCAAAGTCGACATCGATGCCGAGTTGATTTGGTTTAGGCGCGCCACGTGCAAACTCCACGATTTATCCATCTTCCCTGAGAAATTCCAGAGAGCACGCCAGATGCTACATGTTTTGTCGCCCCTTGCTCCAACACGTTCCAAATCAAAGTGTAATTGACTGTTTCTGTTGCCGCCGCCCCCCCCCCCCCCTCGAAAACTGCGGACTCTGGCGTCGACACCAGCCATCACCTACTATTGCGACTCGTTCGTGGATGCGAGTGGTGCAAGCCTGTGTCCATCCGGCTACAGTTTGACTATTGACGAAAGCATCCCTTGTGGCATTGGGGAACTGTGTGACGAGGCGACGTGCTGCGAAGAAGGTGAGGATGGCTGTTGGCTAAGGTGCGTTTTTGGGCAAGACGACAATGGTCGGGGGAGGCGCTGGAATGAAGGCGAATCCAGCAGAGATCAAACTCCATTCGCACCGAGCATCAACTGTTATACGCGTATATTCTTCAGCCAACTCGCCCTCGCAAAAACGATTAGTTGGTACACATGCCCTGTCCAAAATCTTTTCGCCCGTCAGATACGAGGCAGTTTGTGCAACGTAGTCTCAGCCATGCCACGGTACAGCGCCTCGCCAGTTCGGTAACCCTGTCGTGCAGAGCAGCCGATACACCTCGATTCGATCGATACGTTCTATTCCTTTGTATCGGTAGTAGACGATATATGTTGCTGAGTGCAGGTACGCCGCCAACGCTCAACACCTGCTCATTCCGGGGGCTTATTGCTCGTACTCTGACAACAGACGCGCGATGCGAAGACTGGCAGTGTGACGATGTATCCACGAACCTGGAAGGTTCTTGCTACAACTACAATTACGACGATAGGAGGAAGCTCAGCAGCTCTTCTTCCACGTCTCTGGGCGAATGCAGCGACGACACGTGTTGCCAACGTGAGAGCCCCAATGAACCTATAGCTACCCCCCAGGTTTGATCTCCTCAATGCAGAACCAGCCTGTGAAGGTTTGTATTATTGTGTAGCGATGTTCGTATTTTGTTTTACAACGCTTTTACTGTCGTCGCTCGCAGTCCATACCTATCCTTGTGTCCACGGTGACGATAGATCCGATCTAGAGCCCACGGAAGGGGTCATCTCCCACCGCGCCTCTCTCTCTCTCGGCGATGTCTTTGGTCGGACTCTCGAAACCACATAAAAATCGGTTCAACACACTTCCCCCCCCGGATGCATGCAAAGCTTGCAATGCTGTGCACTTGTACCCGTGTATCAGACACATGTCGGGGAGGTATCCCGAAGTTGACCATGATGCAACCATCCAGAAACCAGCAGGTGATCCGAACAACACCCGCAGCGACCCCAATGTTCACGGTTATTCCACTCTACGATGATGCCGTTTTTTTACTACAGCACGGCTCAATTTTCGCTCTTGCCCCGTCTCTGTTCCCATGCTCAGCGAAACGCACCTAGGTAGACTGTACCGCATGCCCATGATACGAAAGTCCGTTGGGCACCCTCCCCGTTATCGGGAAACGAAGTGCTGGAAACGATTGACCCTTGCACGAAAAACGCGGGGCCTGTACGGCAATTGGGACAGCTTTGTAGTCCCTGCTTGCTTTGCATGAGACCACCGTTTGATGGTATGTATTGTCAAGAGCATGCACTCCAACGCTGTTCGCATCCACGAACGAGTCACTCGTAGACTGTTCAGCTGCCGTCCACATCATTGTGGCCGGGTCACAGTACCAGTAATGCATGTAGGGGAGGAGGAGATGGATAAACAAGTGAACCACAAGCTTGAGTAGCGACAACTACGGTTGGTGGTCGGGGCTATGACGTGCTGCCGCTGCATACCCATCGGTCTATATTTGATGCACGTATCGACAGAGTGATGTTTGATGGTTTCATCAACCTGACGGGTAGTGCCGTTCAGACCGTATGTCTCCGAGCTCTACCTATCTCCCACCGTTGTCGATCGGCGTCACTGCGCTTCATGGATGTTGAGACAAATATCCACCGACATGTGCAAAACCCCGATTTGTCCATATTGTTGACTGACATCAGTGAGAACACAGCTATTGCACGGTTTCGTCAACCCGTTTTCTAACGTCTTGGAACTCAAACTTGTATTTGACTGTTTTTGTTGCCGCGTACCCCTCGCCTTCCCGAAAACTTCGGATTCCGGCGTCGACACAAGTCATCGACTACACGTGCGACTCGTTCGTGGACGCCGAGAGCGGTGCAAGCCTATGTCCGTCCGGGTACGTTGCGATTTCCTTTGGCGAAAGCGTCTCGTGCGGCATCGGAGTAGAGTGTGACGTGACGCCTTGCTGCGAAGGTGAGCATGACTGTCGGCTACACCGTGCGTTGTTTGGCCCATACTACATCGGTGGGAGGAAGATGTTGGAATCATATTCTCCCAAGTTTATCCCACCGAACAGAACGTGTGACACTGCTTTGTTTTTCAACACTCTCGCCCTCACAACAGAGTTCGTTGGTCCACTTGCAGTAGCCCTGTCCAAATTGTATATCGCCCGTTAGGTACGAGGCAGTTAGTCTGATCTGGTCGCGGCCATGTCAGGGTTCAGCACCTCGCCAAACCGGTAGCCCTCCCGGGCAGAGCAGACGATACACCTTGATTCGATCGATACGTTCAACTGCATTGTCTCCAAAGAAGTAGGCGAGATATGTTGCGGAGTGCAGGTACGCCGCCAATGCTCGACACCCGCTCATTCCGGGCGTTTGGTGCTCGTGCTCTGACAACAGAGGAGGCACGATGCGAAGACTGGCCGTGTGACGATGTATCCACGAACCTAGAAGGTTCTTGCGACGACGATGACGATGGCGAGAGAAGGAGGCTCAGCAGCTCTTCTTCCACGTCTCTGGGCGAATGCAGCGACGACACGTGTTGTCAACGTGAGAGCCGTAAAGAGACTGTAGATATCGCCCTGGTTTTGATCTCCTCAACGCAGAACCAGGTATCCCGAATCTTGATCATGATGCAATCATCCAGAAACCAGCAGATGGCATCTGAACAACCTCCGCGACGGCAACGTGCGCACCTGTTTGCGATGATGCCATCTGCCCTACTGCGCGACGTGTGGTTTCCAATTTTTTCTCTCCCCCGTTGTTGCCCCTTTGAAACTACCATGGCCAACTAACCTCACCTTTGTAGACTGTACCACGTGCAGAAAACGATCGACTTTTGCACGAAAACGGGAAGCCTGTACGGCAGTCTATTCGGACAGGTTGTGGTCCGTGCTTTCTTGTGTGAGACCCACCGTTTGATGAAACGTTCGATCAAGAGCGTCAAGTCAACCATCGCTCGCATCGACGAACCGTCACGCGTAGACTCATCAGCTGGTGTCGATAGCCGAGTGGGTGGATTAAGGTACATGAATCGCAATTCGGGAGGGAGGAGGATGGGTAGCAAGTGAAACTCAGCCTTGCATAACTACGGTCGGTAGGCGCAGCATTTGACATGCTGCCTCCGCCTGCCAATCAGTCTTCTTGTAGGTTTTGGATGTACATGTAGACAGAGTGCTGGTTGATGGTTTCACCGACCGAAACGGGACCATGCCCTTGGGACCGCATGTGTACGAGTTCTACCTCACTCCCACCATGGACCTTTGGCATCACCGCGTCTCACGCTTGCTGGGTCGAGTACCCGCCGACATCGAAATATCATTTTGGTTGATGCGCACCGCGTGCACATTGCCCGTTTGATCCATCTTCTCGATTATACCGTGAAAACACAAGTTGCTACACGGTTTTGTCGACCCGTTCTCCTACGCGGTCTAAGTCAAAGTTGTAGCTGAGCGTTTGCGTTGCCTCGTACCCCCCATCGCTTCAAAACTGCGGATTCCGGCGTCGACACAAGTCATCGACTATACATGCGACTCGTTCGTGGGCACCGAGAGCGGTGCAAGCCTGTGTCCATCCGGGTACCGTGCGATTGCCAATAGCGAAAGCATCTCCTGCGGCGTCGGAGTAGCGTGTGACGAGGCGACGTGCTGCGAAGAAGGTGAGGATAGCCGTCGATTACCGTGCGTTGTGTGGCGCAAATGGCATCGGTGGGGGGAACATGTTGGAATGAAAGCGAATCCACCAGAGATGACAGTCGATACTCTCCGAAGAGCACTTCCGAAACGCCTTTGTTCTTCACCCGCACAACAAAGATCGTTGGTACATTTGCAGCAGGCCTGTTGAAGTTCTTTTATACGCCGTTAGGTACGAGTCAGTGAGTGTATGGTAGTCTCGGCTATGTCAGGGTTTGGCTTCTCACCAACACCGGTAGCCCTCCCGCGCGGAGCAGACGGTACTCCCCGATTCGATCGATTCGCTCAATCGCGTTGTATCAGTAGTAGACGAGGTATGCCACGCCGCCAACGCTCAACATCCGCTCGTTCCCGGCGCTTGTTGCTCGTGCTCTGACAATAGATGTAGACGAGGAACGATGCGAAGACTGGCCGTGTGACGACGTATCCACGAACCTGGGAGGTTCTTGCTACATCTATGCATACAGCGACGACGATGACGATGGCGAGGGAAGGAGGCTCAGCAGCTCTTCCTCCATGGCCGAATGCAGCGACGACACGTGTTGCCAACGTGAGAGACGCGTATCCACCGACCCCAAGACAGCAACGTCAACATGCTTGCCAAGTTAATTTGGTTCACGCGCACCACGCACAATGCACGATGGACCCATCTTCTTGATGGTACTGGTGACAACACCAGCTGCTACATGGTATTGTCGACAGAGTGTCCAACGCCGTCGAAGTCGAAATGTAACTGACTGTTTTTGTTGCCGGGTACCCCCCACCTCCCCAAAATCTGTGAATCCGCGTCGACACAAGCCATCGACTACACGTGCGACTCGTTCGTGGATGCGGCGAGCGGTGCAAGCCTGTGTCCATCCGGGTTCAGTGCTATCGCCAATGCCGAGAGCGTGTCATGCGGCATCGGAGAGGAGTGCGACGAGGCGACGTGCTGCGATGAAGGTGGGGATGGTTGTTGGCTACAATGCGTTGTTTGTCTCATCCGACAATGTCGGAAGGATGTTGGCATCAAACCGAACCCGCCCGAGATGGCTTGTGTGACCGCCGGACGTCGACAAAAGCCTTCACGCGTTTGGGATATCTGGTGGTTGTCGTCTCACTGTTGCGGTTTTGTCCAGATGTGGAACTTATGTGCGACTCGCTCGTGGATGCGGAGAGCGGTGCAAGCCTGTGTCCAGCCGGGTTCAGTGCTATCGCCAATGCCGAGAGCGTGTCGTGCGGCATCGGAGAGGAGTGTGACGAGGCGACGTGCTGCGATGAAGGTGGGGATGGCTGTTGGCTACGATGCATTGCTTGGCCCATCCGATAATGTTGGCGGAAGGATGTTGGAATCGAACCGAACCCGCCCGAGATGGCTAGTGTGACCGCGCCGCCGGACGTCGACAAAAGCCTTCATGCGTTTGGGATATCTGGTGGTTGTCGTCTCACTGTTGCGGTTTTGTCCAGACGTGGAGCTTATGTGCGACTCGTTCGTGGATGCGGCGAGCGGTGCAAGCTTGTGTCCATCCGGGTTCAGTGCTATCGCCAATGCTGGGGGCGTCTCATGCGGCGTCGGAGAGGAGTGCGACGAGGCGACGTGCTGCGATGATGGTGGGGATGGCTGTTTGGTACGATGCATCGTTTGTCCCATCCGATAATGTTGGCGGAAGGATGTTGGAATCGAACCGAACCCGCCCGAGATGGCTAGTGTGACCGTGCCGCCGGACGTCGACAAAAGCCTTCACGCGTTTGGGATATCTGGTGGTTGTCGTCTCACTGTTGCGGTTTTGTCCAGACGTGGAGCTCATGTGCGACTCGTTCGTGGATGCGGCGAGCGGTGCAAGCTTGTGTCCATCCGGGTTCAGTGCTATCGCCAATGCTGAGAGCGTCTCATGCGGCGTCGGAGAGGAGTGCGACGAGGCGACGTGCTGCGATGAAGGTGGGCATGGCTGTTTGGTACGATGCGTTGTTTTGCCCATCCAATACCGTTGGCGGCAACGTTTTGGAATCAAACCGAACCCGCCCGAGACGACTGGTGTGGGTGATTTGTCCATTGTTGATGAAAGCCTCTCCATGCTTGTCGAGTTGCTCATGCCGTTGCGGTGTCTGGTCGTCGTCTCGCTGTTGCGATTCTTCCCAGACGTGGAGCTCATGTGCGACTCGTTCGTGGATGCGGTGAACGGTGCAAGCCTGTGTCCATCCGGGTTCAGTGCTATCGCCAATGCCGAGAGCGTGTCATGCGGCATCGGAGAGGAGTGCGACGAGGCGACGTGCTGCGATGAAGGTGAGGATGGCTGTTGTGTACCGTCATTGTTTGTCCATCCGATAGGGTTGGCCGAACGGGGTTGGGATCAAACTGAACACGCCCGAGATGGCTAGTGTGGCTAAGGTGCCTGGCCGGTATTGCCGGATTTTGTATCCCTGTTCTTCACGTTGTTGCAACGGATATTGTGTCCATTGGTCAGATCACTTGGGTGTCCGTTCGCGGTCTCCTTGTCACCGTTTGCGGCGACGGATTGGTGATAGTCAAGTGTGTAATTTGCCTTCCCTGCCTTTCTCATGCTGACATTTGTTTGCGTTGCAGATGCCACACAACCGCCCACGATGGCCCCGGAGTACACATGCGATTCGTACTTGAACGATGTTGGCGACACGTTGTGCCCGGCTGGATTTTCTCCGGTTGGTGGTGAAGTCACGTGCGGTGTCGAGGGCGGTTGCGACGATTCCACATGCTGCGTAGAAGGTGACCGACCTTCTTCAGTTTTGTCCGCTATTTTCCTGCGCTGGATAGTCAATTGTTTTCTGTAGCGGCCCACAAGGTATTGTACGGAGTGATTGTCGCACTTGATGGGTTGAATGTGCTCAGTAGGACTTGTTGCTGGTTATGATTTGTACCTATGATTCAACGTGGACAGTGTACTAGCCCGGCACAGTTGTCTGTGTTGGATGTGGACCCGAAGGTACTCATGCTAACTGTCATGTTCTCGCTCACTCTTCGTCACGTCGCCACCCCCGACGAACCATCGATCACTAAGACACACCGAGGCCAAGCCCTGCGCCCACTCCGGCGCCTTTCGTGGCGCCAACACCGGGACCGATCTTCACGGAACCACCGTTGACCCCCGCCCCTACCCGCGGTGAGTGACAAGCGCTACGGTGATAGGGGGTGCGTGATCAGTAGTATCAGCATGTCTAGGTGTAGCACGGACTGGCATGAGATTGGATTTGTCACCGGTGTCAGTTGGAACTCGCTCTCCGCCGAGTAGCTTTAGGGCCATCCTTAGTTTCCTATTGTGGACTTGGACGTGTGCTGATGCTAACTGCCATGTTCTCGTTTCACTCTTTGTCACGTCGCTACTCCCGGCGAACCATCTATCTACGTAAGATACACGGAGGCCAAGCCCTGCACCCTCTCCGGCGCCTTTCGTGGCGCCAACACCGGGACCGATCTTCACCGAACCACCGTTGACCCCCGCCCCTACCCGCGGTGAGTGACAAGCGCCACGGTGCTAGTGGGGGGGTGATCGGTAGTATCAGCATGTCAGGGTGTGGCACGGAATGCTATGATGTTGGAATTGTCGCCGGTATCAGTTGGAACTCGCTCTCCGCCGAGTAGCTTTAGGACCGTCCTCAGTTTCCTATTGTGGACTTGGACCCGAATGTACTGATGCTAACTGCCGTGTTCCCGCTTCACTCTTTTTCGCGTCGCTACTCCCGACGAACAATCTATCTACGTAAGATACACGGAGGCGAAGCCCTGCACCCACTCCGGCGCCTTTCGTGGCGCCAACACCGGGACCGATGTTGACCCAGGCACCGTTGACCCCAGCCCCTACCCGCGGTGAGTGACAAGCGCCACGGTGGTAGGGGTGTGTGATCAATAGTGTCAGCATGTCAGGGTGTGGCACGGAATGCTGTGAGGTTGGACTTGTCGCCGGTGTCAGTTGGAACTCGCTCTCATACCGAGTAGCTTTAGGACCGTCCTCAGTTTCCTATTGTGGACTTGGACCCGAATGTACTGATGCTAACTGCCGTGTTCCCGCTTCACTCTTTTTCGCGTCGCTACTCCCGACGAACAATCTATCTACGTAAGATACACGGAGGCGAAGCCCTGCACCCTCTCCGGCGCCTTTCGTGGCGCCAACACCGGGACCGATGTTGACCCAGGCACCGTTGACCCCAGCCCCTTCCCGCGGTGAGTGACAAGCGCCACGGTGGTAGGGGTGTGTGATCAATAGTGTCAGCATGTCAGGGTGTGGCACGGAATGCTGTGAGGTTGGACTTGTCGCCGGTGTCAGTTGGAACTCGCTCTCATACCGAGTAGCTTTAGGACCGTCCTCAGTTTCCTATTGTGGACTTGGACCCGAATGTACTGATGCTAACTGCCGTGTTCCCCCTTCACTCTTTTTCGCGTCGCTATTCCCGACGAACAATCTATCTACGTAAGATACACGGAGGCGAAGCCCTGCACCCACTCCGGCGCCTTTCGTGGCGCCAACACCGGGACCGATGTTGACCCAGGCACCGTTGACCCCAGCCCCTACCCGCGGTGAGTGACAAGCGCCACGGTGGTAGGGGTGTGTGATCAATAGTGTCAGCATGTCAGGGTGTGGCACGGAATGCTGTGAGGTTGGAATTGTCGCCGGTGTCAGTTGGAACTCGCTCTCATACCGAGTAGCTTTAGGACCGTCCTCAGTTTCCTATTGTGGACTTGGACCCGAATGTACTGATGCTAACTGCCGTGTTCCCGCTTCACTCTTTTTCGCGTCGCTACTCCCGACGAACAATCTATCTACGTAAGATACACGGAGGCGAAGCCCTGCACCCTCTCCGGCGCCTTTCGTGGCGCCAACACCGGGACCGATGTTGACCCAGGCACCGTTGACTCCCGCCCCTACCCGCGGTGAGTGACTAGCGGGTGGTAGTGAGGGGTGTGGTCAGAAGTAGGCATGTCAAAGTGTAGCGCCGACTGCTAAATGATGACTTGTCGCCGGTGTCAGTTGGAACTCGCTCTCATACCGAGTAGCTTGAGTGGCCGTCTTCATCAGCTGAAATGGGCCAGGGAGTTAGATTAACGTTTGCTCTGCGTCAAGTTGTGGCCGTGTCACTTACGTTTCAGTGTCGAATAGTTTACCCGTCTCTGATATTTCACCTTCGTCGTGTCCGTCGTGTTTGCCGTCGATCATGTTTGCGGGATGCAGACGTGGTGCCACTACCCACGCCATCTCCGTCTCCGCCGCAAACCCTTTCACCTGTGCCCGAGCCAACTATGCCCCCTACCCTCTCGCAAACGGCCCCCACCCATTCCGTTCCAAACACCGTCACCGATTTCAGAGGAAACCCTTCAGCCTTCACCTGGGGAGACTGTGTCACCTGTGTTTGACCGGACCCTTCCACCTGCGCCCGAGTCAACTGTGCCACCTACCCTCTCGCGAACGGCCCCTCCCGTAGCATTCCACACCCTGTCACCGAATTCAGAGGAAACGCTTCAGCCTTCACCTGGGGAGACTATGTCACCTGTGCTTCCACCTGTGCCCGAGTCAAGTGTGCCACCTACCCTCTCGCAATCGACCCCTCCCGTAGCATTCCAAACCCTGTCACCGAATTCAGAGGAAACGCTTCAGCCTTTACCTGGGGAGACTATGTCACCTGTGCTTCCACCTGTGCCCGAGTCAACTGTTCCACCTACCCTCTCGCAATCGACCCCTCCCGTAGCATTCCAAACCCTGTCACCGAATTCAGAGGAAACGCTTCAGCCTTCACCTGGGGAGACTATGTCACCTATTGACCGCACCCTTCCACCTGTGCCCGAGTCAAGTGTGCCACCTACCCTCTCGCAAACGACCCCTCCCGCAACATTCCAAACCCTCTCACCGACTTCAGAGGAAACCCTCCCCCCATCGCCTGGGGAGACTATGTCACCTGTGTTTGACCGCACCCTTCCACCTGTGCCCGAGTCAAGTGTACCACCTACCCTCTTGCAAACGACCCCTCCCGTAGCATTCCAAACCCTGTCACCGACTTCAGAGGAAACCTTTCCCCCATCGCCTGGGGAGACTATGTCACCTGTGTTTGACCGCACCCTTCCACCTGTGCCCGAGTCAACTGTGCCACCTACCCTTTCTCAAACGACCCCACCCATACCGTCCCCATCCCTGGCACCAATGTCAGAGGAAACCCTCCCCCCTTCGCCTGGGGAGACTATGTCACCTGTGTTTGACCGGACCCTTCCACCTGTGCCCGAGCCGCCTGTGCCGGTACAAACGCCGGTTCCGCAATCGGCCGTCGACCCTCTTAGTCCTTCGGTTCAGACCCCAAGCCCGGCAGAAGAAGGTCTCGTATGGTTGAGTTGGTGCGGATTTCCCCTAGCTGTTGGCTTTCTACATGCGAAACCGCGCGATTCACACGTTACCCGTGTACGTCCTAGCGAGTGGAGCCTCGTATTGCTTTTCGTGCAGGGGCTCAGTGATGTGTTGTTTCGTGCCGACGCTCTATTTTTTTCTTCGTTTCGCTTTTCTGACGATCCTCGTCGATAGGCAATGACTAGTAATCACGCCACCACTTGACCCTACGTGCGCACCCGGTACGCTGAAAAATGAAAGCATTCGCGTTTCGTTAAGGTGCCGTTTGCTGCTGCCTATCCGCTGGTCGTCCGTTGTTTTTTGGTGTGCTATTTTCGCTGTCGCCGGCGCTGTTGCAGTTACTGTTGCACCTGGAGCGACGGCTTCCCCTGGAGCTACTGTGGCGCCGATCACCACCATCGCACCAGGAACTACCCTTGCACCCGGTGAAACGTGGGCCCCGGCCCTCACGATTCGAACACCGTCTCCTGGAGCAACGTCTGCCCCCGGGGCCACGGCTTCCCCTGGAGCTACTGTGGCGCCGATCATCACGATTGCACCAGGAACTATCCTTGCACCCGGTGAAACATGGGCCCCGGCCCTCACGATTCGAACACCGTCTCCTGGAGCAACGTATGCTCCCGGGGCCACGGCTTCCCCTGGAGCTACAGTGGCGCCGATCACCACCATCGCACCAGGAACTACCCTTGCACCCGGTGAAACGTGGGCCCCGGCCCTCACGATTCGAACACCGTCTCCTGGAGCAACGTCTGCCCCCGGGGCCACGGCTTCCCCTGGAGCTTCTGTGGCGCCGATCACCACCATCGCACCAGGAACTACCCTTGCACCAGGTGAAACGTGGGCCCCGGCCCTCACGATTCGAACACCGTCTCCTGGAGCAACGTCTGCCCCCGGGGCCACGGCTTCCCCTGGAGCTACTGTGGCGCCGATCATCACGATTGCACCAGGAACTACCCTTGCACCCGGTGAAACATGGGCCCCGGCCCTCACGATTCGAACACCATCTCCTGGAGCAACGTATGCTCCCGGGGCCACGGCTTCCCCTGGAGCTACTCCTGCACCTTCGGGTAGCACTGGAGAGGTATGATGGAAACCGCTTAGATTTAGCTGCTAACGCCGGTGAGATTGCCATTTAGCCGGGTGTGTCACAGGGTATACCTGAAGGTGTATTGCTGAAGGCTTTGGCATGTACCAGTTTTGTATCGGTGAGCGCTTTGAGGTCCATACCATGTTGCTCAAACACTGGGGCTTTCAACGACGAGCGTTCGTATCCTGGCCCGGTACCTCGCTCTTGCCTTGCTCCATATTTCCCACCACGCGTTAGGTAGAAAGCCCTGGGACAACAGCCGCTGGAGCGGTGTCCATCTTTGCCCTGATCGGCATAATGGTGGTGTCCACCGGCAGCATCGTCAGGTCGAACCACGGCAATGGGTCAGTGTCATCTGCGGGCGGAGCGGGGGGGGCATCTGCGAACGGCTCCCGCGGCCTTGTGGGCACGGTGGGTCTGCTCTGTTCAGTTTTGTTCTCAACATTTTGGTCCATTCTAGATTGGATCTACTGTCCCACGACGGATACAGTGGTATTCCATGGAGGCGTTAATTGCAATGGCGCCGTGTTGGTAGTACTGTGTCCGGTAGAAGCCACAACTACGTTGCAGCTTCCTAAAGCGTAGTTCTCGTTTTCATGGAGCATTTGCGGTCGTCGCCGATAGGAAGGGTCGAACTTGGCGCAACGTAGACAGCGTATTTTTTTTCTTTTTCGTGTCGTCTTTGCCGGGTGCTGCACTGCCATATCCGATGCTACCATTGCTTGGTCTCTCGCAGGCTGGTGCTGTAGCGCCCGTTGGTGAGACGGGCGAAGGAGATAGCCCCTCCCGCGTCAGCCACCGCAGGCCTTCGGCAACTTTGGCGTTCGTGCTCATGACGCAACTCCAGTTTCTTGCGATGCTGTCGCTGGTTGACTATGTCGTAAGCCAAGGTTCCTGGCTCGCCGACTTCGTCGTCGGTCTCAGGTGTGATAAGCAACGGATACTGGCGGCCGTCCTCGATATCTGTCTTTCTTTCCAGGTTTCCCAGTTGCCGGTGTTGGCATGTTTAGAGCTATCTCTTCCTTTCTTTGTGTAGGATCAAGTTTGCCTTAGGAGCGTTGTTCACAAGTGCTAAACACCACCTATCGCCGGCTTGCGTGCGGAATACATAGTGGTAGCCCCAAGGCCCTTCTCTACAGGACGGAGTCAAGTGCGCCGCATTTCCAGGCAATTCTTTCGTTTCCACAGGAAACCTCCACAAGATCCCTTCGCCCACCCTGATATTTTCTACTCTGTCCCCAACTCCTTTTTCCAAACTAAAAAGATGGATCAATCTGTGGTGGCCAGCGGAAATCGGCGAAGACATCGTCTCCGACGGGTGCATCTTCGAGACTGGGGCAAGTGAAATCGGCGCCTTGGTATTCGTGGGCAATCTTGCGCTGGTGCTAGGCATTCTCCTTGCCATATTCTTCCTTCACGTGGCGGTGGTGTCCGGAGCAGAGGCACTCTGGTTGACGAAGGTGAACAAATATATAATCTGCGTGTTTTTTCTGTCACCGACTAGGTGGGTTACCGTAGCTCCCCGGAATGGGTGTAGTGCATCGTAACTCCGCTCTAGCCCCCCGGCAGTGAGCACCCAGTCATGACACGAGGGCCAAGTTTGGCACCCAACTAAAATCCCGCCGTTATGGTCAATGTCAAGGCGATTATCCGTTGCAAATTTCGTTCGTGAACAATGCAACACATCAATTTCCCTGCCCTGTTTCCAATCCCCCTGTCTTCAATCAAACATTGCCGATGCAGAAACGCGCCCGAGAGAACCTAGACGGAGCACGCCGTCGTAACACCCCTATCAGCGAGCTGCTGGCGCGATTCAGGGGCGGAAGGATGATACGCCGGACGAACCCGGGTCTCACCGATCCCAGCCCGTTCGGCTCTAGAAACCCATCCCTTGTACGTGACAGGTCACAGAGAACTGACGAGGAGGAAGGAGGACGAGGATTGGTGCCCATGTGCAGCGAGAATCAGCTGAGCCCGGTGGCGACGTGCCGGGAGCACTCGACATCGGCCTGGCTCCATTTCCCGCACGTGGAACTGGTGTTCCTGTTTTTCGCGTTCGAGGGGGCCGTGGCGTCGTTCGCGTCTGCCATTCGGAACTCTGAGTGCCCAGAGATGTTTTACACGGCGATAGCAGCGATGGTGAGCTTGAGAGCTCCTTGATGGGCTCCAGAGATTTTGTTTTGCTTGCCATGACGTGTTCGAAGGAATACTGGTTGTTTGTTCATTAGGTTCTATCGCAGCCACGTACAGCAGTTTCGAGGGATTTCCGTTGGAGTAGGTTATATCGCGATCCTCAACATCCTGGACGACGGCACACCGGCTACGTTCTACTGCTACACATGTTTCCATGCTTTCAAGGTGGTGAAAGCCCTGGTAGATGAACGCCAAGAATGATTGCGTGCACGATGCCGACACGACGGTGATACGAACCGGTCGTGCGTAGTTCGTTTTTCCAAGTCACACCGTTGCGTTTCACAAATACTCACCCTTTCCCATGCTTCGGAATGTTTTTTTTCTGATGCCGGTTTTGTGAAAAACACAGGTCTTGTACCCGCTGTTGATGTTCGCGACGGTCGTCCGCACTCTGTTCGTCCGGGTTCGTCCCGACGAGCTGCTGATATTCAAGACGTACGACGAAGACGGCACCAATGGCAACGCACCCAACTGCAGAGGTACGCCCACCCCGTTTGACGAGGTTAGCACGGCCGTGGAACACTGGGGTCGTAGCAATGGTGGGGCGGTGGGATGGTGGGGCAGCACGCACAAACCCGTCTGCACACGATTGCCTACACGTCATCTACTCTCGTGTTGTTACTCGCGCCCCTACAGCACCTCCATACTTGGGCTTGGTGCTCGAAATAGCAAGCGCAACGCCCGTCTGCAATTTTTCTCAATCAGGTGGCTTCCTGTCCCATTTCAAGAGCAGCTGGGCCGAAAACTACAGCCTCTTTTCCTGGGCAGACAAGGGGCAGTGGGAGACAGTTCAAACGCCGAATCGCAACATCACACGAGAGGGCGACTGGTTCCGGATCGGGTTCGAGCCGGTATTTGTTGACTACACCAAGCGGGGCACTTGGTTCATTGTGATCTCGCTTGTGGAGGTGGGTGGGACTGCGATATCGGTTTCGGGCATGTAGCCGTGACGAGTAACGCTGAATGAACGTGTTCCGCCATACGTTGCAGTTGAAAATTGTGGCTTCCATATGTTGCGCAACGTAGGGTTATCAATTCGGTAAAGCTGGAAAGCGTGGGATCGGTGGCCTTGTGGCGCACTTGCCGCAGCGGATTACCAGGCTTGAACGTTGTCTGCGAACAACAAAAGACTGGTACCCCGGCCAATACTACCTTGGCAACCGCTGCTTGAGTCCAGGAAGTCCTTCGCCACTGCCTCTTGCGCTTTCCCGTCCTCCTTTCTGCAGTGGGCCTCCATCGCCTTGGTCGGGGTCATGATAGACAACAGCAACGTGCAGCTGCTTCTGTTCTGCGGCCTACAGTCGGCGATGTTTCTCATCCTTGTGTGCCTCAAGCCTTTTGCGAACAGGTGAGCCGGGCGTGTCGACCCACGCTGAAGAGCGACCGTCGCAGTCCGTAGCACGCGTAGTGCTTCACGACCGTAACCGCACTGGTCGAGACGAATCCCCCTTTTTGCAACATCGCATAGCCTCGTTCTACACGCCCCAGCGGTTCAGTACGTTGCGTCTTTCCTTGTAGCCCTTACAACTTCTACCCTGCCTATTCCGCCCGACCAGCTGAGGTTGAAAATCATGTTCGGTGCGTTTGGACTGGGACTAGTTCGAGAACGGTCCGTTGCTGCTTCTGCGCGTCGCTGCTCCGTGATGCTCTACCCCTCAGACGGATATCTGCGTTGCCAAAGCTCAAACAACGCTGCGTGTGCGTTCAACCAGACTGCATGCGGGTCAGTTCGATATTTATTTGCTCCTTCTTTTCGAGTGAGCGCTTAATACCGCCGTCCGTTCCTCTTGATTATGTCCGGAAAAATGCAGTGTGATCAACGGTATTGGAGCATGCATCGTGGCCATCGATGCCGTCAGCACGGGATTATTGGCGGTTGCAGCCCTCAAGTGGGAGGGGACAAGCAGAGCGACAGATGTGAACTCTGCGGTCGGTGTTCTACAGATAGTCTCGCTCTGCGGTGAGTCAACGCGGTCTTGTTGTTGATGGAAGTCTTAAGCTCCAGACAATCAGTCTGGCAGAAGCCGTTCGGCAGCTCAGCAGTTGCAGGAAATGGTGGTTTGCAGGGCGTATCTCATGGTACCGACACCGTGACTCGATTCTCGCGAGACCCGCAGATTTCTTTTGCGTTTATCCTTTGTCGGCTAAGCTAGCCCAAGCTCCTGTCCTTGCTGCTCTCGCGGCTCAAATACTCTACAACGTCTGCACGGGGAGTTTTTAGAGTTTCGATAATGAAAGTTCTGAACCATGTTCACTTGACAACCCTACCGTTGGCGCTTGTGTTGTTGTTTGACACCCTGCACAGCTCTGGTAATCCCAGTGTACTTGGACGCTGTGACAATCGTGATGGGAGCTATTCGCAACCGCATACGAAAAGCCTTGGGCAAGACCGGGCAGCAGGTATTGTGGACGTCTGCATAGCGTTACCAACGCATGGTGTGCGAACACGAAATGCTCTTGTTTAATACAGTAGCGTGCATGCTTTTCTTTCGTCGTACAACCCGTTCTCGCGTGTTACGGTGATTTCCCTCGGCTTGTGTCGGTCGGTATCCCTTCGGTTTTGAGTTCCAAGTCTCAGCTATGTAGCGCATTTCGCTGTGTACCCTAGCAAAGGAATTGGCCCTTGATTGGTGAGTATCGTCGAGGGAAAGTACCTGCTGAGCATTCTCGCGCTAGTTTTGAAGGCATGCGCTGTACATTAGTTGGTCTGTGTGACCCGGGATTGTGAATCTTGAACGGGCTCTTGAAAGATGACACACCAGTAGGTAGACAAGCATTAGAGCGTTTACAAGAACTGAAAGTTGGACGATTAGCAAGAATCGTTCGTTTCGTGTTGCGGGTCAGGTCAGCTCGTTGACTTCAAGCACAGTTTAACACGAAAAAAACGCTTTCTTGTGTGTGTTTCTGCCACAGCAGTTGAAAGGCGAAAGCCCGGAGGCCCGAGACTACATTCGCACCTTCACCCGACGGCAGTGGTGTGGGACGTGGTGCGCCATGTTGAGGCACAATGTCTTTGCCTGCGCGAGAGATACTCGTGAAGGCGTTCGCAAACCCCACCTCCTCACAGCTGCTCGTTCGGGACCGTACCCTCCGTTGGACAAGAGCATTGGGCCGGACGGGACGGAAGGCGACGGTGGTCCACCCCGCCGCCCGAGTTTCAACGCTATCGGCACTGTGCACACCCCTGTTGTCGTTAGTGGCGAGGTGGCGGGCTCGCGAGCAACCGCGTGGGGTGGCATTCCGAGGCAGAGTTCTCTGCAGCACGGTGATAACCGGGCCGCGACCGCCTCGTTGAACGGTATGAGCGCCGTGCCTGGTGCTGCCAGCGGCAAGGTGGTCATACAGCAAGGAGTGGACTCGAGCGCGCGCGACGCGGAACCTCCTGCTGCCCAATCTGCGGTCTTCGCCTCGACGGACCACGATGCGACCGTTTCGATGAACGGTATGAGCGTCGTGGAAGGTGTTTCCAGCGGTCGGGGTGTGATGCACCTGGGCGTGGACTCGAGCGGGCGCGACACTGAACCGCCCGCTCCCCCATCTGCGGTCTTTACCTCGACGGGCCGCGATGCGGCCGCTTCGTTGAACAGTATGAGGGTGGTGGAAGGTGTTTGCAGCGGCAAGGAGATCATACAGCAAGGGGTGGATTCGAGCGGGCGAGACACGGAACTGCCCGCTCGCCCATCCGCGGTCTTTACGTCGACCGGCCGCGATGCGACCGCTTCGTTGAACGGTATGAGCGTGGTGGAAGGTGTTTCCAGCGGCAAGGAGATCATACAGCAAGGAGTGGACTCGAGCGGGCACTACGCGGAACCTCTTGCTACCCAATCTGCGGTCTTCGCCTCGACGGACCACGATGCCGCCATTTCGATTAACGGTATGAGCGTCGTGGAAGGTATTTCCAGCGGTCGGGATGTGATACACCAGGGTGTGGACTCGAGCGGGCGAGGACGCGATCCCCGTGTCGCCCCATGCGCTAGCCACTCGTCCGACTTCATCCCCACAGATGTCGATGATGACAAGAGGGAGCGTGTCTCCGTGAAAGCCTCGTCCGTTTTTGGATCTTCTGGCGGCGGCACGTGTACGGTCCAGGCTGGCGCTAGCGGGAGGGGACTTATGACAGGTGATGGTCTTGGAGGAGCTGATCATTCCCGTGGTGCGTCCGCGACCGCTCCATGTCGACACGACGTTGGGCCGACGAATATTTCCTCGGCAAAAGAGCGTGTCCTGCGCTTCCAGAATACGCTCTTCATATCCTCCAGTGATACTGCCTCGGAAAGCAGTTCGGCCGCGAAAGGGGGGAGTAGTAGAAGTATCATTCGACGTGGCGAGTCGAACGAGCACGAGAACTATACGCCATCACCGAAGGAGACAGGAGCAACGGGAGTTGGTAGCGACCAGATATCGGGAGCGGGCCGGGTCGGAGGTGGTAGGAAAGGTGAACCGAAGCTAGCCTTTCTGAGAAGTCGTCCTCCCGTCGAGAAGGACGTGCCGAGGCGGAGGGGCGTCGCTGGTCTTGCATTGGCGGCCGCGACTAACGCCGTACCCTCCGCAACGGTACCGGAGTCTGAAAGCACCACTATCGACGACGAGAAACTCGATGGCGATGAGGGAGCTGATGAAAGTATGGACAGTAGCGGTCGGGGGAACCCGAAAGGCCCATTTCAACTTCCGCGGGGCGCTCGAGGTTCAACCGAAATCGACGTGTCCGAAGACATACTCCCGGCTATATGTGATTCTCCTGCTGCGAGTGAGTTCTTGAGCGCAGACTCGGACAAACAACAAACACGTGCTGGCCACCACCATGGCGGGAGCCGACGCAAGTTTGGAGGCGCCTTTCCGCGACTATCGTTGACCTCTCGGAACAACCCTACCGAGAGCTCCTTCCCTCGCCGGCGCTCTGCAGACGCGTGGAATCATCCGGTAGACGAGTCGATGAACAGCCTGCGCGCGTCTATTCAGGAGGAGGAGGACGGGGGTGCTTCGGGCATCGGCGCCGGCAACGGTGGTGGCAAGAGCGACATGAACACCGAGGAAGAGGACGACCTCCCGAGGGTGGATGTTACGGCAAGCGAAGAGAACAGCAACCGCGGCGAGTCTGGGAAGGGAGAATCGGGGCTTTGGGGTCTGAAGAATAAAGCGCCCGTCGCTTACGATCTGCCTCGCCGTAGCTCGGGATACTCTGCGGATTCTTCGGGGCGCGCGGACGGGAGTCGAGGTCAATTCTTGCCCTGGCGGGAGGAGACCGGCGATGTCTGGGTTGGAAACGATCCCGACAGTACTGGTGCGACCGCTTGTGAGGGCAGGGAACGATCTATCTCCGGGGCAAGGAGCACCTCCGTCTTCGCTGGACTAATGGGTCAAGTTGCAAGGCCACTTGAGAGCGACCGGCCTAGACGCCGCGGGTCCATGGAGACTTCCCTTGTGAGAGGAAGAGCTGTGCTCCCGGGCGAAGATTTGTCGAAAAGCAGTGGTGCGAGCGCAGAAGACGTCGACAGCTCGTCCGGGTTCGTCGTGTCGGCAAGTCGTAGGGCAGGCGGCAGCAACAACGTATCAAGGGACTTGGGGTGGCCCGCGGGCTCAAAGGGCAAAACTCCCGTCGCCAGCGATCTTCCCCGCCGAACCTCGGGCTACTCTGCCGATACCTCAGCTCATTCTGTGGGTGAATTAGACGTCTCCGGAGGCAGAGCATTTCAGGAGGAGGAACATACTGCGGACAGGATCGCATTTGGTATTCGGAGCGATGCTAAGCCCGGGGTTGACTCTGCCAGGCAGGGCTCTCGTGGAAACCCCGTTGCGAGCGGCGGTCGGAAGAGCTTGTTTCCGACGCTCGTCGGGTACAATCATGCACCGGTCGAGAGCGATCTACCCCGGCGTCGGGCTAGCGAATATTCAGGAGCAGCAGAACCCAGGGTGGACGGGGCGATGGGTGGTGGTGCCGATACAGATAAGGCCGCAGCTGATCTTTCGATCGGCACGAGCGACGTCGACGGCAGCAGGGAACAAAGGAGGGACGGGGCGCGATGGGGCTTGGGACGTAGAGCGCCCATCGCGAGTGATCACCCGCGGCGTTCCTCTGTCTGCTCATCGGGCCCTGCTCACGCCGTGGCCGTTCTCGCTTCTCAGGGTTCGTCACGCCATGACGACGCTGGCCTCCCGGAAAGCTTTGTGTTTGCCGAAGACTACACCTCTGTTCGTCTAGGGGATGGGCTAGGGGTGAGCGTTGGGTCATCTATGTTAGAGAGTGGAGAAAGCGGCAGTTTTGTTCGGGGTTGGAGCGGCCGGACCCAGTCCGCTCGTAGGATGCATTCCCCCCGGCACGGGGACGTGGAACCCGAAGTGAGCACGGACGGCTTGAGCTTCACCCGGGGTCCTACCGCCGTTCGCTCCGGCCATGGCCTAGGTATCAGCATTGGATCGTCTATAGGAGAGATCGATGGATATGACCATGATCTTGGGGATCTGAAAGACCAAGCCTAGGAGGTTCCACCAGTACGGAGGAGTTGTTGGAGAAGATGGTGCTTGAATTGTAATATAACGGTGTAGACTAGTGGTAGTAAAATGCGGTGACAACCCGCAATATTTCGCGAGAGCACAAGAAGGATGTTGTGTTTACCCCCAGAGTTGCTTCTTGGGAGCGCGCAGGTGTGGCCCCCGAAGGCCGAAATGTTTTACCTTGTTTCGCAGTACGCGTTTTTTTGTTGTCGAATGCACATCAGAAACAGAGCAGGGCCTTAGAATCTGGATAGATACACGATACCACGTGTTCTACAGTATCTGCCGTTGTTTTCTGTTCCCACACGCGATCTCAACTTTGGTGTAGATTGTGAGTGGACTTTCGAGCGTCGGCGAACGCTTTTGGCCGAGTACAGCAACTGCTGTAAACCTTGTGGTGGGATTGCCAATTGCTGATTGGAGGGTCCTGTGTGGCTGGGTCTGGGAACGGACCGACCCCAGCGTGTTGTGCCAAAACCGTTGTAAGTTAGTTCCCAATACTTGTAGAAGTGTTACTGTTTCTTTGAATTCGAGATGGGTGTTTGAAAAACGGTTAGCGATTGCCGCTGATCGCTGTTTGCTCCTGAAATACGGTGAGCTCGTGATAGGTAAAGAACACTACGGAGTATTCGGCATGTAGCTGGTATCTTTAGAAAAGGTAGCTTTCCAATGCCGCATGTTGGGTCTGTATGTTGGGGTCTTTGCCGAGTCAGTCCTTTGTTTGAAGGGCTGCGTTTTTGCACATACATTTTTTGTTGAGCTGATTCTGCGAATGGTTGACGTTCGAAGAAAGTGTACAAAATTAAGTCTGCTGCTCTTCAGTATACCGGAGCCTCATTTTCGTGTTGGTCATGAAGTCTAGTATTTTCGCGAACAAGACGCGTTGTCATTTGTAGGAGAACCTGTGACGTTATTTATTTTGTGTGTGTGGTGTAGAGCGTATATGACGACAATGTGCCTTGGTCGGCGATCGAAGCGCTTCCTTTGTGGAGAGAAGAAATTCGCTTGTTTTGGAGTGGCAAGGTGGACACGGATGCTGTCACGTAGATGACTGCTCTGTGCGACTGTGCACACATGATTCTAGAGCAATAGTGCGTGTCCGCCACAGGATGAGGATGGCAAGGTAGCGTGCGTACCGTAGCAAGAGGGTCATGTCCTTTGAGGTTGTCATGCATGCATTCGACAACTTATTCTCCACCAGACGCATTGATGTAAACCTTTATTTTGTTATTTTGGGGATCACGTCACCTTTTTGCAGTTTTCCCCCTACATCTTGTTCATCGTCATCGTGATCAGTTGTTGCTGTGCTCGTTGAACGTTGACGTTGTGGCTGTTGCAGTCCTTACACTAAACTCTGGCTGCCGTATCCCGCGCTGATCCGCCAAACGAACCGACCGGATGCAGGGTCACAGATCGACACAAGAATACGATGAAGAGACAGAGAGAAGAAAAGCAACGAAAATAATCTATGCCAAGGAATAACCAAAGGAAAACCCATTACAAACCAACGTATACATACGTAGCATGTATCGCTCGAACCACGGGATTCAATTCAGATACCAGCATATTCCTCACGGAAGCTAAACCATGCGTATCATAACTCCGACAACAGTCCACACCAAGACCCCCTTAGAGGTGCGAAGGGGGCTTCACGAGGCGAAGAACAGTAATAGTGTAGGTCTAGTAGTACACTCCGTCGCAGAGCATGTCTTCGCTGGCTCATCGCATCGAAATATTTGAAACTACTGTAAAGACCAATCAAATATTTATTTTGCTACATAGGGAGGGTACACAAACCTCGAACAGGAAGGAACTGTC